CCCCAAAACCCCAAAACCCCAAAACCCCATAGCCTAATAATTAGTGAATTGTTAGAGATCATCATAAATTGTACCTTTGAGAGTATAAATATTTGTAAAATTGCTCGATAATAAATAGTCTCTTGCAGCTATTTATATAAATACTCATTACCATTATTTCTAAAGCACTCAAGCAAGAATTTCATATCTTTGCTTCTCATTAAGTGATTTTAGAATAGGAATTGAGTCAGGGATGACTTGCTCTACCCATTTTTGCGATACCTTGTACATTTCAAGTTTGATAAGGGTATCAGCATCACCAATACATTTCATTGGTTTCTTCATTGCGATATTGAGAGATTTATTTTGCTCTCCAAAAGATATTTCAACCTCGTTATCAGGGCAATCCTTTGTTGATACCAAAATGAAGGGTAGAGATACTGATTTATTAGGGTCATAACATCCCTTATCCTTATCTTATTTGTTTCTGTGTATTAAATTCTTGTAGGAAATGAAATGCTTATATTGATCAAAGAGAACCTCTCTTTTTTACTCTACTCTATTCTCTATTTATTAGACTTAGAATTTAAGCTATTCAATGTGCTACATCATTTTGAGATCTTATTACTAGCATTTTGCTGCGATTTGTTTGTTATTTGATAGCGAGGGATCCTTCAGCTTGTTAGTTAATTGAAGAACTTTGTTGTCGCAAGATACATGCTTTCCTTCTTTTTTCAAAACTCCGGCAGCATATAGCACATTCAATGCATCATAAACTCTTCTTCTTACATTTTTCTCCCATTTTTACTAAGAAGATGATGATGCCTAGTCTCCCCTTTTATTAGGTGATTCATCAGAAAGATAGTCATCGTCTTCTAAGCCTTCTAGAGAATCTTCGTTATCAATGCCTTCTAGATTTGGAATCTTATTTTTGTTGTCTCTTAGCTATTTTATCAATTCATTTGCCACATCTTTGTAAGTTGTTTGTTACTTTTTATAGACTAGTTCTTGAACTTTTACACTAAGTATCTTGAGGCCTCTTTTCTTGCGGCTTGCTGAGGAAACATTATCATTAATTTCTCCATCGTTCTTTTCAATCTCACTTTCAGAACTAGATTCCCCTGCTAAATCATCGATGGCTGAGGAGGTATTCTTGAAATTGGATGAGTAAACTTTCTCACTCTTTATTCTTTTATTGACTGGTGTCGTAAAGACATCTTCATGTTATTATTGATTAACTTATCTTTCTAATGATTCTACATTATACTAAGCTCTTTATTTCTAACCCAAAATTTATTTCTAAATCATTGGAGATTGCTGCAATTACTTATTTTCGCTGTGAAAAAGAGTTTTTGCGTTGGAGAATTCTCTTGTTTAGATGTTGCTGAAACTATGAGGTAGATACTTGGGGGACTAGTTAGGATTGTTCTGGCCGAAAAGTAATTTTGCTGAAGACTTCGGTTTGAATGTTGAATGGTTAGGATAGAGATTATTTTAGAGATCTTTATGATTAATTGGAGTATTCATTACTGAATTATTAGCTGATAGCAAGGAATTGTTTGCAAATAACTTATATTACTACAAAGGTTGATAATCTAGTAAATTCTTATTAAAGTCTGGCTATTAAACTGGCTGATGAGTTATTTAATGTTACTACTATTGCTATAATTATGTACTGTACTAACTTGAGTGATATCTAGTTTGAGAGCCCATGATACCCAAATTGTTATTATTGTTGAATTAGGTGTTTGGAGTTATACTGCAATTTTTACTAGGATTTGCTTGGTGAGTTTGCTACTTTTGACCATGAATATTGTTAATCATATCCATTAGTCCACTATGCTAAGGGTATCTATTTTTAGATTAATTAGAAAGGAATTAGAGAGGATGATGATAGTTAGTGGCTGAAATATTCTAGTTTTAAATAACTTCAAGATTTTCATGAGCAAGTAAATCATAGCAATCGTCCATATCATTTTTAGATTGCTTTTGATTTTCCCATCTGTTTTGAGTGGTATCGAATATTTCTTACTTTGATTATTGGTATCTTGATTATTGATCGTCGAATACTGAGGTTATTTAAATGAGCTCAAGCTATCTTGCTTCATTTATTTGCTGCTAACTACAGACCGGACTTATAAAAGTCTCGTTATTTTAGGTTTTATGGGATTCTTGACTTCCCATTACATTTTTCAAAGATTTTTATCCAAATTACTATGTGATATCAAAGATCTGGGCAAATTTTTCTAAAAAAGTACTTAATTTGATATATCCAATATCATTGTCCGGCTCGTCTGGATGTTATACAGCTTCGACCTCTTGAGTATGAAAAATTCTGGTCTATTAATCAAATCCTAATTCCTTTACTACTAATTATTGCAATTTTAGATCGTATTTAAGTTATTCAGAAAGTGATCTTATCATTCGAGCAACATTTGTTTGACTAAGGTCTTCATTTTCCATTAAAATTTTCTATAGATGATAATATTCATCTTTTGTTGCAGGCACGGCATGTAGATCACAATTTTTTAGGACAGTTTCTAACATTTTTCTCGCTCCATTTGATACATTTATCAAATCTTATCCTATGAATGGTGCTTTGATACTTCCTCCTGATATTAATTCTTAATGAGCTCTCTATTTATTCAAATGACTATTAATATGGCTGGCTTGCTTGACCATATTAGAGTTAAGTGTATCTTGGTTGTTTAAAAGAGAAGTCATAATTTAAGTATTAATTAATTAATTGAGATGAGAATCCCGCATAATTTGAATATATACTCAACGGCTTGCTTTAATTTTAAATTGCCAATAATTAATTCTAATAATCTCTAAACTTTACACTTATCAATACATCTATTCTCTTACAAACTACTATAATATTAAAAAAATGGGTAAGAGGAAATAACGAAAAAATTAAGAAGAAAACAAAAACAACAAGCAAAGTAGTGGGGAAAGGTAGAGCTAATTTCTGGAAAATCAGGAAAATCAGTAGGTCAAAGGTAACTATTAGACTCCAAACAAGAGGGACTTATCTGGAAAGCAAGTGACTTCAGCACAGAATATAGACTCAAATAGTAAGTATAAGAGAGGCTCAATTATCATTTTCACCATCAATTCTAACATTCACTAATTTAGATGCTCATAAGATGAACCTTCTGCCTCAAAAGTAGTAGAATAGTCAAGCCTTAAATCAGTAAACTAACAACCAAAGAGCATCACTGAAAGAGCAAAACAAAATATCCGCTTCAAGTTGTGAAAATAAAGATAGGCCGACAAAAATCCAGATTTAAATGGAAAAAAATAATTAGGCCTTATAAACTCAATCTAATAAGAAGCATGAATTCAAAGTCTAACAAGAATCATAGCAATAGCCTGTTGGTGATAAGAATTTGAAGACTTTGCTGTAGTCTCAGAAACAATTAGCTAAATAACATCAAAACTATAATGAAATTGGTCAGACTAAAAACCTATAAAAGAATGTTTAAAATTCTTTAATGCTTTCTATTGATAACCACAAGAGAGTAATTAATATTTGATATCTAACTTTCTATTTATTTAGGATTTTCAAATTGAAGATGAATTTGATAGTGGAATAGACGAGGATGAGTACGGAGATGAGGAGTACGAGGATGAACTGATATAATCAGCTTTCCAATAAAACACCAATACTTAAACAACATAAAATTGCAATTATTACTATGATGAAATTGAGGCCACCTAATATGCTAAAAATATTAATGAATCAGCAATTTACTAGTAATAATAGAATTAGTTAGGCATTAGAAATTTTAGCACTAATAAAGGTAGATAATTGGTTAAAGACATCCAGCAGCTAAGTATGGAAACCTTAATTCAAGGAGATGAACAGATTCAATCTGATATTAAGTTCTGCCTCTACTGCATATATAACAATCACGACATTTCTCAATACTTCAAGTAGCTCCTAAGAATTCAAAGAAGGCTTAAAGAATGGAGCTTCTAACTTAACCCAAACATTCTATTCAATATTTTCGAAGAGAATATCAAAGAATTCATGCATGGAATCAGAGACAAGCTAATAGATGAGATGAAATAACTGTAGATGATAAAACAAAAGCCCTCAAGTAGGAGATACTCATTTGATGATTACTTCCTAATTGATAAAACATTTTCAAGAAGCTACTCATTACACGGCTATAATAACGAGATTCTCAATCATTGCATGAAATACATGCTTGATTCAAAGTATGAGTCCATCAGAAATGATTTGAGGCATAGAATCTGGAGTGAAATGAGGAAAAATAATGAGATTATTGTCTCCTTCTATTAATAGCCTGATGCTTATCAGAGAATATTTGATTTACTTATCAAGTTTTACACAAGAGTTAGAGATTCAATACTAGGCATTGAAGAGATGTGGGTCTTTTTCATGGAATCTGTTTTCCATTAAGAGCTCAGAGGGAACATGATCTTTGAATAGTTCCATAAATAGATCTTTAAGAAGGATATTCTAAGTCACAGATACGTGCAAAGTTTTCTCAAGGAGATTAATGAAGTCCAAGTTGATTTAGAGAATAGGAGATAGAACAATATTCAAAATTAGCTTGATCCAATCATCGAAAACATAAGCTAAATTCTATTTGACCTTGATGAAGATCTCAATTTCTAGTACCCTGAGGAGACTGAGTCTTAGAATGATCAGAATTAGCAATAACCTTAAGAAACAATAAATCAAGAAGATAATTAAAATGAGGAGGAAATAAACCAAGATGGGGATGATTGCAGCGATTCTGATCTAATTATAACTTATCAATAATTACAAGAGAAAATCAAAGTTCAATATGGTGGCCTATCACTAGCCTAGCAGGTTGAGTAGTACAGCTCTTAAACTTCAAACTACCTAAATATCCTCCAATCGATTTAGCAGGACAAGCGATGTCAAGAGTTAATGAAGAATCTTCCCAATCTAGATACAGACACTCTGTGCTACATTATTGAGAACAATCTAACTCACAAGGATTACGAAATGATACTGCTATAAAATTAATAAAAATCATAAAAGCCTATACAGATCACTAATCCTAAAGACTAGCCTTAAAATCCAGATGATGTTATTATTTCCCCGTCTAAAAATTTGAACTTTTTGAACCAGTATTTTAATACAGCTGGTGAAGAGGGTTAGGACTAAAATAATTCAATCAGTGAGGATGATGAAGATGATGAGGCCAAAGCTGAGCGATAAATGGAGAAGAAAAAGAGAAAGAACATGAAAAAGAAAAGAAAGAGAAAGGAAAAAAAGATTATGGCCCAGCATTAAAACCAGTTGGAGGAGCTACTCAAACTAAAGCTGTTAGAGGAACAATAAAAACGTGGTTTCAACAATGAGCAGATAAGGAGCTAACTCAGGAAAAAGTTGATTGAGCACTTGGGCATAGAATAAACTGATGTTGATCAGTATCTCTCTAATTTTCATGCTCCCGCTTATGGTTAGAAAAAGTCATAATCTGTAAGTCAAAAATAGATTTTTTAATCATTATAGGACTCATCTCAGAATGACTTGTAGACCAAACAAACTCAATGCGATGACAACTCTGATATTGATGCTGAATAAGAGCAAGAATTTGAAAAAGATCTTGAGCTTTTCAGGCAGAGACTTGAGTCAACTTCCTAGGCCGTCAAGTCTATGAAGAAGGCAAAACTTGTCCCTAATATTCCTTAGGGGTGGATTGATCAGCTTAGATAGAGACTTAATAGTTTCTACTAGTGCTAAAGTCCTAAATCCAGCATGCTTGGAAAAGGAATAATTGACTATGGCAAGCACTCAGACGGGCTGTGGGTAAAATCCTATCAGCGTAGTGCATGATTGCAAACTAATGGAATGTGTAATAACTTTAATAAAACTTAAAACCTAATGCCATCTCCTATTTAAATTAATAATCCCTTCCAAATTAGAATCAATATTTGGATCAATTATCTAGACTAATATACTTACTGATGGGGTTTTGGGGTTTTGGGGTTTTGGGGTTTTGGGGTTTTGGGGTTT